CACACACACACACACACACACACACAGCTGACAGGAACATCCTCCCAGCCACATTGATAACAGGCTTCAGGCATTGCATTTTATCAAGTAGCTAATTATTTGCGTAGGAATGTACCATCCAGTCATGTGTTTGCTTTAGGCATGTAAAATGTCATGCACTGGTATTCAAAGTGTGGTCTTTTTCTTTAACATACACTAACCAACAGAGGAAGGAAACTTTTGTGACATTTGAAGGCTTTAAGAAGTACATTGATATTTGTGTTTTATATTTCTTCAGATTACAGTATACTTTGTTTTGACAGAGGATAATCACCAATGATCAAAGTGGGAGGAAAAAAATGCAGTATGCTGGACATTGTCCTGCTGTTGCCAAGGGATAGAAGTATCAGAAGAGTGTGGTGATATTCACAAGTACCTGTACATCAATGTTGGAAATCTTGTGGGCAAAGGGATAATGCTGAGCTGCTAGAGGGAAGGTTCTCGTTGTTTTCTGTGCTTATGCTCTGAACTGCAATTCAGATTACCTGGCCTTCCTTGAGTCCATAGATTGTTTTTGAAAGGGTGCCATAGGTGGATTCTGTTGTTCACCCGGGTGACTTCAATGTCCATGAAATGACAGCTTTCTGTAGGGGAGTGATTGGAAGGAATGCCATCCCTGATCTGAACCAAAGCAGTGCTCTGTTATTGGGCTTCTGTGTTTGGCACACGCATCATGTTAAAACATGCAAATCAAGTACTCTTATGGCCCACTTAGGGCTGGGTATCATAAAAAATAAATAAAATAAAAAAGATATCTGAACTGGTACCTTCACTTCAATATTTGTTCCTGAACTATACTTTTTTCGGTAACAATTTTATAATTAACATCAATTCTAACAAGAAGAAAATTAGGTTATGCATTTAGGGCTGGGTACCTTGTGACAGCCTGCTTGTTGCACTGAACTGGCTGCATTTATTTTCTCTTTCCCTTGGCCCTATTGTCCTTTCACATTAAGACATGCCTTAGAGCTATTTTATTTATTTTATTTGGCTTTAAATCTCTCCACAGCACTGAAACTACCCTATTGAAGGTTTTTAATGACATTTTCAGATCCACAGATACCGGTTATTCTGTGCTGCTTGTCCTATTGGACCTCACAGCCGCCTTTGACACCACTGACCATGAGATCCTCATTGCTAGGTTGGAGCAGTGGGTAGGCATCACAGGGTCTGCCCTCAATTGGTTCAGATCCTACATCGCTGACAGATCCTTTTGTGTCTCCATCAAGGATTTTAGTTCTGCAGCGCCAGAGCTTAAATGGGGGGTTCCACAGGGGTCCTTCCTGGGTCCCCTCCTATTCTCTCTATACCTGCTGCCACTTGGTGCTATTTTCCGGAAACACAACATACCCTTTCACTTTTACGTCGACGACTGTCAAATTTACTTCCCCCTAAGACACAATGGTACATGCTCTATTCAACCTCTGCTCGGCTGCTTGGCTGACATCAGGGACTGGATGGCTTTAAACTTCTTAAGTTTCAATGAAAAGAAGTCTGAAGTCATGTTGTTCCCTCCCAATGACACAATCACAAACCACTGTATCGACCTTTCCACTCTATCCCTGTCAGAAAAACAGTCACTAATCTGGGAGTGATAATGGACCCTTTCTTGAAACCTAACAAATCATGTAAACATGATTGTTAAATCATGTTTCTTCCAACTGAGGCGGCTGTCTAAACTGAAGCCCATATTGTCCAAAAATAACCTGGAGACAGTAATACATGCATTCATTACATCTAGGCTTGATTACTGCAATTCACTCCTGTTTGGTATCAGTCAGACCTCCATTGCACGACTACAACTGGTCCAGAATGCAGCAGCTCGATTTTTAACCAGTACAGGCAAAAGAGAGCCCATTACACCAGTTTTGGCCTCACTGCACTGGCTACCGGTTCACCTTCGAATCCAGTTCAAAATACTCTTGTATGTTTCCAAATCACTGAACAGTCCCCCCCCCCCCCCCCCCATCTCTCTGATCTGCTACAACCATATGTCTCACCACGTTCCCTGAGGTCAGTGGACCAGTTGCTCCTCACAGTTCCAGGAACTCGTCTTAAGCGCAGAGGTGACGGGGCCTTCTCTGTAGCAGGACCAAGACTTTGGAACGAGTTACCTCTGCTTGTCAGACAGGCCCCCTCCCTCTCGGTCTTCAAGTCCCATTTAAAAACTCACTACTAGTCAGTAGCTTTCAACATCAGAGGATCTGTGTTTTGAACCTGTATGCTCCGCACAGGTTAGTCATCATATTTATTATCTGCATCGTTTTTATGTCTATATTCTGATTTACTGCATTTTGTATATTGCTTTGTGTGTTGCCTGTTTTTCTGTCTGTACAGCACTTTGGTTGGCCTTGTAGCTGTTTTAAGTGCTCGATAAATAAAATGGTATGGTATGCCCTGAACACACCTGTCTCTCATAGACTCGTTCGATTGTCACCTGTTCAAATTCATTGCTGTCTTGTTTATAAAGATGACAGTTCTCCCTGCACTGAGAGAGCAGCAGCCACATCAACCCTTCTGTCAAATAGAACTCATTAAAATAAATCTGAGGCCGTTTAAGCTCTCGTGTTACTATAAAATGTACTGTCGATCCGACGTGTCAACACAGAAGTGCCATAAGCTGATGTCATTGAGTCAAAAGTTTGATCGAAAGTTTTATAACTAATCCATCCATCCATCCATTTTCTTCCGCTTATCCGGGGTCGGGTCGCGGGGGTAGCAGCCTAAGTAGGGAGGCCCAGACTTCCCTCTCCCCAGCCACTTGGGCTAGCTCTTCCGGGGGAATCCCGAGGCGTTCCCAGGCCAGCCGAGAAACATAGTGCCTCCAGCGTGTCCTGGGTCTTCCTCTGGGCCTCCTCCCGGTGGGACATGTCCGGAACACCTCACCAGGGAGGCGTCCAGGAGGCATCCTAAACAGATGCCCAAGCCACCTCAACTGGCTCCTCTCGATGTGGAGAAGCAGCGGCTTTACTCTGAGTCCCTCCCGGATGATCGAGCTTCTCATCCTGTCTCTAAGGGAGAGCCCAGACACCCTGCGGAGAAAACTCATTTCGGCCACTTGTAACTGAGATCTCATTCTTTCGGTCACAACCCAAAGATCGTGACCATAGATGAGGGTAGGACCTCCTCCCTGTCCTGGAGAGGGCACTCTACCCTTTTCCGGCTCAAGACCATTTATAACTAATCAAAATGTAAAATGACTAAAAAACTAATTGTTGCATTCCCTTATAGAAAATAAAATGAGTTTAAATGTGGTATTTGTCCAGAGCAGATAACAGAAAACTGACTCCTTATTCTGCCTCTGAGAGAGTTTCATCATGATCTGTAAGTCTATTATTTTCTGTAATGTTGTGATTTATGTGCATTGTATTACTGAAACTGTATTTGGAGCCTTGTGTATTTCTTTTGTTGATTCTCAGCTCTTGCTGTGAGGCAAAATATGTGTGGGAGCCATTACCTGCCTTGTGAACTCTGAGGAAGAATCAAGGACACTTTTTGTGGGGAAGGGACTTGTCTTTGTTGATGGACATTGAAGAAACAGAGGTGAAACATGTTGTTTTTATGGACATTGGAAAAGAAAAAATACAAAACTGAAAATTCATTCATTCATTCAACCTTTATTTTCATCCAGAGATTTTTTTTTAAAATCTTTTTATCTGTTGCGGCTGTTGCTGCTGTTACACTTGAATTTCCCATCTGTGGGACAATAAAGGCAGTTTCTATTCTATTCTATTCTATTCTATTCTATTCTATTCTATTCTATTCTATTCTAATCTAATCTAATCTATTCTATTTAGACGGGTAAATCCCATTGAGCCTCGAGGACTCATTTACAAGAGAGACCTGATTTCAACAAAGAATAATGACAACAATGGACAACAGCGACAACAATAAACAGTTATAAAAAGTAATACAATTTTATTTTATTTTTTTAACAAATAGGATGGCTAAAAAAGAAAA